GTGTCTGAAGAAAAATCAATTTTATATTAAAAACAAGTGAGGAAAATTTATGGCGGATGCCAAACAGGAGGAAGCAAAAGATTCATTTCCTGAGCATACAGCAACAGTTGCCGCAACCACAATCAGCGACACTTTTCATGTATTGGTTGTACTGTTAGAAAAACATAAAACGCACATTTACACGCAGAAAGGCTATTGCTGCTGCTCTACCGCTGTTACTACTGCTGTTACGGTTGTTGCTGATACGGATTCTGTTGACGACACTGATGCTGATTGATGTGCATTTATGACATGCAACACATACAGTATGTACTCTGTGATACTTTACTTTACTCTGCGTGGTAAAAGAAACATATCCTTAGGATATGACTTAATACAGATTTGAAATATATACTCACATATTAAATGAACTACAATTTTGTGTTGACATGATAGCGTGATTGGATTGGATGGTAAGAAATTAAATTATTAAGGAAACCAGGCATAGTCTGAAGTGGCTATAAAACTTATTCAAACTCATTAATTAGGAGATATTCTATACGTTTGGTCTTTTAAGAAACTTTTTCATATAACAGTTAAATATCTCACCCTACTTAAAAATACAATAAATTGAGGTATTGATATAATTAACATACGAGGGCTGTTTGAAAAGTTGGATATTGCACTTAATTAGTTACAAAAATTCTTTTGTTGTTGTTGTTGTTGTGGTTTCTTGAGTTAATGCTATTGGCACTTTTACTCTTTTGTGGCTGAGGGGATTATCCCTGCCCCTCACTAAGCTTTAACTATACTAGAATTCATATAGTTTATTTATCGTTTAACTGATATCGGACCGTAGGTTAGTATATCTTTCTGTGGGTCCTAAGGTGGACTTGAGGTATGTTAGGGCAGGGTTGGGCAGCGTATTTTTAGTAATATTTTTTTTATAACCTATCAATATTAAACAACTTAACAGTATGTTTCCACTACATACTTAGTAAGTGTAAATATATATATATTTAATTATTGTATTGTGTAATAATAATTTTAATTATTACCATCTATAGGACGACTTTTTTTTATTTCCAATAAGCATGTTTTTTTCTATTGTCTAGTTAGAACTACTCTGTGAAAAAAATTGTATTACTAAGTAAGTAAATTATTTATAAATCAGAATTATCAAAGTCTAGAAACTTTTCAATAAAAAAAATATTATGTTTCATTTGACAGTTAATGAATTTATCTGTCAATTTTCTTACAGCAATTATTAGTTTTTAAATTTTTGTAAATTTCTTTCCATTGCAATTTTTATTCTGCTAGAAATTGTAATTAATTTGAAATAGTTTAATTTAAAAATAAATCTTAATATATATTCATTTCAAAGCTACAATATGGATGCAAAGATTAGTGAATTTATTCCTGAAAGTAAGATTGAAAATTCTAAGAAAGAAACTGTTCCAGAACATATTAGCGATATGAACAAAATTGTATCTGCTAACCAAGCAGAGACCGAACCCAAAGGTAAGTTTTTAACTTTTATAGTGACATTGTATGGCCTTAATTCTTTATTGCAAAAATGTTTTTCTATTTCTTGTCTGTATTGAAAACTAACCAATTTCTAGTATAAAATCACATGTTTCAATATTTTTAACTAACATACTTTAATATAAGTGGTATTAATATTAATATGTTAATAATACTCCACTCCATAATAGAGAGGCATGCCATAAGATAGGGTCTACCCTATAATGACTTTTATGGCTCCTATGATGACAAGGAAGCTGTGCTCTACCTCATGTGTTTGTGCACATCTTTAGCTATAAGATCAAAAATTTTCGAGGCCCATTTTCTTACCGACCTGACCAAGCTGTCATCCTCCAATATTAGGGACTTACACAAATTCATAGAATTGTCAGTTTGATTTACCGAGCCATTATTTGAGCTCAAGTGGGCTTTCTTTCCACCTCCCTTACTTTACTACCTTACTTCATATGAACCATAAAAGGATCCTAGAGATACAATATGAAAAGTTTTTATATTTCGTTATTCTTCGCAAAAATATAGAACACAAAGTATTGTTATGCTGATAAAACCAAACGTACAGGATATCGTGGAATAAAACAAATTACATATATTAGTTGTTCCTCTGATATGGACTACATGTAGTACCTATATGTTTAAAACTCATTAAGAAGTGTTATGCTGTATAACGATATAACCAATATTTGGTATTATCGGAGTCTTAAAAAAAAACACCGCTGATTCCAGTACTTAAAACAACTGGATGTGCAATAAAAATCTGATCTTGATAAATACTAATTTTCAGATAAACACTGAAAAAATACATTTCAGAGACGAATACGGTTTGAATATCAAAACCTAATCAGTGGAGTACATAACGTGGTTATTTTAAGGTTCAAAGCCTCCTAAAATATTTTACACTATTTTAGGCTAGACATAATGCAACTTTTTCAATTAATTAATTAATTAATTAATTATTTGCGTAGGAACTTTAAATGAGTTCTCAAAACCTTCTCTTAAATGCGATTCTATATAAGCTCCTGATCAGAAGTAAGAATTTCAGATTACATTCTGAAAAATTTTTTAGTCAGGTATAGAAAATGATAAAAATGTAGAGATTTTTTTTATAATTAATTTTAAGCTAGATATTTTTTAATGTTTAACAATTCATACTCGTATGTATTCTCTATTACACAGATGTAGAACCTACTTCTAACAATTGCATCGAAATACCTAATCAAATCAATGAACTAGGTCTAATGGATGATTTTACATCTAACAATCGTATCGATACACCTACTCGAAAGGAAGTAATTGAAGAATTAGATCTTATGGAAGAACTAATTTTTAACAATCACATTGAAGGATCAAATGGAATGGATGCAATTGAAGACTTGGATCAAATTGATGAAGATACATCCAACAATCACAGAGAAAAAGCTGACAAAAATGATTTAATTGAAGATTTAAATCTTGTGGAACAACATATTTTAGGCGATCACATTGAAACACGTGATAAAAAGAATACTTTTAAAGATTTAGATCGAATGGATGAGCTGACATCCAACGAACATATCGAAATACCTAAAAGAAATAATGCTCTTAAAGAATTTGATCGAATGGAAAATAATGGTAGTTCATATATATTGGAATTTGAAGTCAAAAAAAATTAAATTTAAAACTTGTTTGACAGAGTTTTCCGACAATTGTGACGAATCCATT